TACGCGCACAGTATTTGTCGACGAAGAACATGGTGGATGCTGCCCTCAAACTTCGAATATAGTACTCTTCACCTGCACGGCTCATTATACTGTCCTGTATAAGAGTACTCTTGTATACAAATATCAAAATTTTGGGGATGTTAGGGGTCCAAAAGAGAGGTTATATATGTACCAATGAACCTTTAAAAAACCTAAGAAATCGGCGGTCCGGTTGTGGAGAAAAAGGAGGGTAAAGTTGCGTGCTCCTAGAAGTATATAAGTCACGTGACATGACCCGCGAGGCGTGAGGTGCGAGACCAGATAACCCTAAGGTATACTAGGTATACTATAAGGGGAGGTGCGAGACCCAGAGCAGGTGCGAGATCAGGTGCGACAGTATAAACCAGGTGCGAGACCAGGTGCGAGATCAGGTGCGACGGGGACCAGGTGCGAGAGGAGGTGCGACAGTATAAACCAGGTGCGAGACCTGGTGTGAGAGGAGGTGCGACGGATAAACCAGGTGCGAAATCAGGTGCGACGGTATAAACCAGGTGCGAAAACAGGTGCGAGAGGAGGTGCGACGGATGAGGGGAGGTGCGACGGGAGGTGCGAAGGGTACAGGGTGAGGTGCGAAGGCAGGTGCGATGGTATAAACCAGGTGCGAGACCAGGTGCGACGGGAGGTGCGACGTATAAACCAGGTGCGAGACCAGGTGCGACGGATAAACCAGGTGCGAAAACAGGTGCGAGGGGAGGTGCGACGGATGAGGGAAGGTGCGACGGGAGGTGCGAAGTCAAAACCAGGTGCGAAGGGTACAAGGTGAGGTGTGAAGGCAGGTGCGACGGTATAAACCAGGTGCGAGATCAGGTACGACGGATGAGGGGAGGTGCAAAAGGACGTGCGACGGATAAATCAGGTGCAAAACCAGGTGCGAGGGGAGGTGCAACGTATAAACCAGGTGGGAGACCAGGTGCGAGGGGAGGTGCGACGTATAAACCAGGTGCAAGACCAGGTGCCACGGTATAAACGAGGTGCGAAACCAGGTGCGAGAGCAGGTGCGACGGAGAAACCAGGTGCGAAACCAGGTGCGAGGTCAGCAAGTCCAGGCAAGTAGCCATTCACCGTAATATCCAGCGTAATATTCACCGTCGTGCACTGTAATATAGCGTAATCAAGCGTCATTCAGCGTCATCTACCGTGAATGACCCCATAACCCTGTCGTATTTGTTCTCTACTAGGGTTAGGCCTGCCCCGAAGTGCTTTCTACTTGAAAGAAATGCACGAGAGTCACCACGTCCACGCAGGGGAGTTCAGGGTAAACACTGTACTCAGGATGCGTGAATATATATTACGCGCACAGTATTTGTCGACGAAGAACATGGTGGATGCTGCCCTCAAACTTCGAATATAGTACTCTTCACCTGCACGGCTCATTATACTGTCCTGTATAAGAGTACTCTTGTATACAAATATCAAAATTTTGGGGATGTTAGGGGTCCAAAAGAGAGGTTATATATTATACCGTCCTGTATAAGAGTACTCTTATATACAAATATCAAAATTTTGGGGATGTTAGGGGTCCAAAAGAGAGGTTATATATGTACCAATGAACCTTTAAAAAAGCTAAGAAATCGGCGGTCCGGTTGTGGAGAAAAAGGAGGGTAAAGTTGCGTGCTCCTGGAAGTAAATAAGTCACGTGACGTGGACCGTCATTTACCGTAATGCTTGGTGTGAACCGTCCTTCACCGTAATTGAGGTGAAAAGTGGAAACCCAGGTGCGAAACCAGGTGCGACGGATAACCCAGGTGCAAAAACAGGTGCGAGGCCAGGTGCGACGGATGCGGGGAGGTGCGACAGGAGGTGGGAATGGTACAAGGGCAGGTGCGGAACCAGGTGCGACGGATAACCCAGGTGCGACGGATGAGACCAGGTGCGAGAGGAGGTGCGACGGATGAGGGGAGGTGCCACGGGAGGTGCGAATGGTACAAGGGGAGGTGCGGAACCAGGTGCGACGGATAACCCAGGTGCGAGACCAGGTGCGACGGGAGGTGCGACATATAAACCAGGTGCGACGGATGAGACCAGGTGCGAGAGGAGGTGCGACGGATGAAGGGAGGTGCGACGGGAGGTGCGAATGGTACAAGGGGAGGTGCGGAACCAGGTGCGACGGTTAACCCAGGTGCGAGACCAGGTGCGACGGGAGGTGCGAAGTCAAAACCAGGTGCGACGGATGAGACCAGGTGCGAGAGGAGGTGCGACGGATGAAGGGAGGTGCGACGGATGAAGGGAGGTGCGACGGGAGGTGCGAATGGTATAAGGGGAGGTGCGGAACCAGGGGCGACGGTTAACCCAGGTGCGAGACCAGGTGCGACGGGAGGTGCGAAGTCAAAACCAGGTGCGAATTGTACAAGGGGAGGTGCGAAGCCAGGTGCGATGGTATAAACCAGGTGCCAGACCAGGTGCGACGGATAACCCAGGTGCGAGACCAGGTGCGACGGGAGGTGCGAATTGTACAAGGGGAGGTGCGAAGCCAGGTGCGATGGTATAAACCAGGTGCGGAACCAGGTGCGACGGATAACCCAGGTGCGAGACCAGGTGCGACGGGAGGTGCGAATCGTACAAGGGGAGGTGCGAAGCCAGGTGCGACGGATAACCCAGGTGCGAGACCAGGTGCGACGGGAGGTGCGACATATAAACCAGGTGCGACGGATAAACCAGGTGCGAGAGGAGGTGCGACAGTATAAACCAGGTGCGAGACCAGGTGCGAGAGGAGGTGCGACGGAGAAGCCAGGTGCGAGAGCAGGTGCGAGAGGAGGTGCGACAGTATAAACCAGGTGCGAGAGCAGGTGCGAGAGGAGGTGCGACGGTATAAACCAGGTGCGAGACCAGATGCTGTTAGGAGGTCCGACGGATAAAGCAGGTGCGACGGGTGAGGGGAGGTGCGAGAGGAGGTGCGACGGGTGAGGGGAGGTGCGAATGGTACAAGGGGAGGTGCGAAGCCAGGTGCAACGGTATAAACCAGGTGCGAGACCAGGTTTGGCATGGACACATAGGGTTAGGGTTATCACGCACGCTTTGTCTGCGACTCAGCTGGCGGTCCCGGGTTCAATGCCCGGGTGTGTCAATCACCACTAGTGGCAAGATTTTCTTATTGTCATCTTTCTTTGCACCTTTCTCTCGAAATGTTGTGTTTCTAGTGATTTTCGCGTGAATGCTGACGGGGTAAAGTTGCGTGCTCCTGGAAGTAAATAAGTCACGTGACGTGGACCGTCATTCACCGTAATTGAGGTGTAAAGTGGAAAAAGTGGAAACCCAGGTGCGAAACCAGGTGCGACGGATAACCCAGGTGCGACGGGAGGTGCGACGGGAGGTGCGACATATAAACCAGGTGCGAAAGGGTTAAGGGGAGGTGCGAAGCCAGGTGCGACGGTATAAACCAGGTGGGTGACCAGGTGCGACGGATAACCCAGGTGTGGGGGAGGTGCGACAGCAGGTGCGAGAGGTACAAGGGCAGGTGCAACGGGAGGTGTAACGGTATAAAGCAGGTGTGCGAGGAGGTGCGACGGATGAGGGGAGGTGCGACAGGAGGTGCGAATGGTACGAGACCAGGTGCGAGACCAGGTGCAACGGGAGGTGCGAGGTGAAAAACCATGCAACCTCGGTATGTTGGAACCCTTATTGTCCTTTCCCGAAACAACATCGACCTGTGGCGGCGGCATTCCGACTGATTCCTTACTTTTTTCCCCGTTCCATCTCCTTCCCGAAAATGCCATCGACATCAACACTCACTGACTTTGAGATATGGAAGAAACCGACGTACTTGACAACGACGACCTACCGGAAATTGGTCCCGAGGCCGATTCCGACTCTGATTCTGATTAAGGGTTTCCCTTCACTATTTTATTTCTAACCCAACTTCCCATTTCACTTTCGAAGTTGCCTTTTCAAATTGCGCAACTCCAAGGGGTTTTCTGGCAATGAAGGGATCTGAGCCTGTCGCCGTTCTTACATTTTCTTGATTCCTTTTGTTTTCCTTGACTTATTTTCACACCAATTTTGACAAGACGACTTCAAGAAATTCACAAAACAGCAAATTTATTATGTACAAGTATTTTTTCGTTACCGAGCTAGAGGCTGAGCCTCGGATTGTCGCTTACCTCTTCATCAGTCGGCTCGTCAACCTCTTTCTTGGGAGGAACCCCATATGCGTGTTGAGGATGGCATGGGTCTCCCAAATTTTCTTCTCAACTTCTTCCATATATCCTCGCGTGTTCCACGTCACGGAGGACCTGGTCTTTGGTCATGTTCGCGTGATACGGGCCTCGGTGAAGGTCGCAGATGATTCCACAGTTCATCAGGCGCATGGCCGGCGCGAGGGTGGGCCCTGTATGGTCTGAGCACTGCAACCTTGATTTTGCGCATTTCTACGAGTCTGCCTGCACCGGCGGAATGTTGCACCTCGGTACTCACTTACCGAGGTTTTCATGATGCGGATACCGAGGTTCGCTGAGCTCGACTTGTTCACCATTTCCATACTCGTCCGCACGTGACGTAGGCCACCGGTCCCCTGAGGCCTACCTCCTAGCTATGTAGTGCGAGAGGAGGTGCGACGGATAAACCAGGTGCGAAACCAGGTGCGACGGTAAAAACCAGTTGTCAGGTGAGGTGCGAAACCAGGTGCGAGAGCAGGTGCGACGGATAAACCAGGTGCGAGAGGAGGTGCGACAGTATAAACCAGGTGCGAGAGGAGGTGCGACGGAGAAGCCAGGTGCGAGAGCAGGTGCGAGAGGAGGTGCGACAGTATAAACCAGGTGCGAGAGCAGGTGCGAGAGGAGGTGCGACGGTATAAACCAGGTGCGAGACCAGATGCTGTTAGGAGGTCCGACGGATAAAGCAGGTGCGACGGGTGAGGGGAGGTGCGAGAGGAGGTGCGACGGGTGAGGGGAGGTGCGAATGGTACAAGGGGAGGTGCGAAGCCAGGTGCAACGGTATAAACCAGGTGCGAGACCAGGTTTGGCATGGACACATGGTATACTTGGTTATCGCGCAGGCTTTGTCTGCGACTCAGCTGGTGGTCCCGGGTTCAATCCCCGGGTGTGTCATCATATCTTTCGGCATAATGTTTTATAATTGTGATCTTTCTTTGCACCTTTCTCTCAAAACGTCGTGTTTCTAGTGATTTTCGCGTGAATGCTGACGGGGTAAAGTTGCGTGCTCCTGGAAGTAAATAAGTCACGTGACGTGGACCGTCATTCAGCGTAATTGAGGTGTAAAGTGGAAAAAGTGCAAACCCAGGTGCGAAACCAGGTGAGACGGATAACCCAGGTGCGACGGGAGGTGCGACGGGAGGTGCGACATATAAACCAGGTGCGAAAGGGTTAAGGGGAGGTGCGAAGCCAGGTGCGACGGTATAAACCAGGTGGGTGACCAGGTGCGACGGGAGGTGCGACGGATGACCCAGGTGCGATGGATGAGACCAAGTGCGAGAGGAGGTGTGACGGATGAGGGGAGGTGCGACGGGAGGTGCGAATGGTACAAGGGGAGGTACGGAACCAGGGTCGACGGTATAAACCAGGTGCCAGACCAGGTGCGACGGATAATCCAGGTGCAAGACCAGGTGCGACGGGAGGTGCGAATGGTACAAGGGGAGGTGCGGAACCAGGTGCGACGGTATAAACCAGGTGCCAGACCAGGTGCGACGGATAACCCAGGTGCGAGACCAGGTGCGACGGGAGGTGCGACAGATAAACCAGGTGCGACGGATGAGACCAATGAGCGGAGGTGCGACGGGAGGTGCGAATGGTACAAGGGGAGGTGCGAGAGGAGGTGCCACGGGTGAGGGGAGGTGCGAATGGTACAAGGGGAGGTGCGAAGCCAGGTGCGAATGGTACAAGGGGAGGTGCGAGAACAGGTTTGGCATGGACACATGGTATACTTGGTTATCACGCACGCTTTGTCTGCGACTCAGCTGGCGGTCCCGGGTTCAATCCCCGGGTGTCTCATGCATATCCTTAGGCATAATGTTTTATAATTGTGATCTTTCTTTGCACCTTTCTCTCAAAACGTCGTGTTTCTAGTGATTTTTGCGTGAATGCCGACGGGGTAAAGTTGCGTGCTCTTGGAAGTAAATAAGTCACGTGATGTGGACCGTCATTCAGCGTAATTGAGGTGTAAAGTGGAAAAAGTGGAAACCCAGGTGCGAAACCAGGTGCGACGGATAACCCAGGTGCGAGACCAGGTGAGAGAGGAGGTGCGCCGGATGAGGGGAGGTGCGAATGGTACAAGGTGAGGTGTGGAACCAGGTGCGACGGGTAACCCAGGATGGACAACCCAGGTGCGACGGATGGGGGAGGTGCGACAGCAGGTGCAAGAGGTACAAGGGGAGGTGCGAAACCAGGTTCGACGGAGTACAAGGGGAGGTGCCAAACCAGGTGCGAGACCAGGTCCGATGTCAAGTGCGAGAGCAGATGCGAGACTAGGTAGGAGGGGAGGTTTGAGACCAGGTGCGAGAGCACATGCAAGAGTAGGTGGGAGACCAATACCAGGTAAATTTCGAAGTTGAAGTGAAGTTATCCTCAGAAATAATAGGGAGAAATGGCTCATTAATGGTGATGACGCTCACTTACGCTTCCTTACGGTGGACTACGGTGGGAGACTTAGGGTTAGGGCTGCATCCGTTGATCAGACTGATAAGAGATTGCCGTTGATGAAAAGGATCGTCTTTCTTCATCTCAACCATATCCACCGCTCAACTCACATTCATTCAACATCCTCATGGGCGCCGAGAACTTTTTCAAATGCGGGCATGCATGCGTCCATGCACTGGACAGTTCTGCTAGAATCCAGTATGCGTCGGTGCAATACACGTACCGCGGCGAGGCCGTCTTAGTTGGTCTGGTGCCGGTATGGCACAAGAAGGGAAGTATCTGGAAGAGGCATGCCGCTTCTCGGAAACAGCATCCCAAATGCAATGCAGCGCAATGCCGTTTATTTCCGCACCTGGGTCTTGCGCCGGAAACCCTTCCTCGGTCGGAGCAACTCCGGGATCAACTCACGGCAGAGGATTGGAAGCGGTGGGGACTTGCCATTGCACTGCGATTCCTTGGGCGAAGTGATGAAGGTGATGTTCCGGATTTGTACTTGCAGCGTGCCAGGCAGTTCAAGGATCGGGGCTTTGGAGAGTGGGACGAGGACGATGAGGAGGGGGAGGACGATGAGGATACAGAAGAGGAGGGCACGGACGAGTGGGGAGGGTTGGAGCAGGATGAGGACGAGCAGGATGAAGAGGATGAGGAGAAGGAAGAGGACAAGCCGGGAGAAGAGGAGGGAGAGGACACGGACAACGAGGATGAGGATATGGAAAATCAGGGACAGGGCGAGTGGGCTGATTTGGACATGCACAAGGAGCAGGAGGAAGCTGAGGAACCGGGAGCGGCAGAGGAGGAGGAGGAGGAAGACGCGGGTCAGGGAGCGGCAGAGGAGGAGGAGGAGGGAGCCGAGGGACAGGGAGTGGCAGAGGACGACCCGGATGAGGAGGAGGAGGAGGAGGAGGAGGAGGAGAAAGACGCAGGACAGGGAGCGGCAGAGAAGGAGGAGGAGGAGGAGGAGGACGGTTCGTGTGGGACGACTGCACGCAGGATGGACCCATTGTTTCCCTCCCGCCAGCCGACTCAGGGATCCGTGCGCAGCCTCAGTCATGTGTCGGAAACCCCACAGAACACGCCGGCCCCGGAGCAGGGTCATAGTCAATATCCCAGCCCTGCGCCGGAGCCGGCGAAATTGACCATGCTAAGCCCAGCACCGACCGTTCTGCCCCAGCGTGCGGTGCAGCCCCTGGCACAGCTCCCCCCGGCACCGCTGTTCCCGGAACCAGTTCCGTTTTCTGCAGGCCAGGCACCAATCAAGGTCACATTTGTTGAGCACATCGTGCGTTCGAGCAGAACCGTAGAGGAAACGGTAGGGAAGACATATCGGACGACAGATGTCCTACCTCGTAAGGTTTACAACAAGTTGAAGACGCACTTCCCCGAATCGGTAGACCTGGAGCCCGAGGTGCCACAGTTCGCTAGGGTTAAACATGTCAATATCGAGGAGTGGGTAAGGCGCCAATCACCTGGCTGCTGAGAGGGGGTTCTGACGCTGATATATTGTATAGACCTGGTTTGCAGCAGAGTTAATGCAGCGGCCCGCGGAATTTGACGTGTCCTTGATGGGCTGCAAGGAGTTTATCGAGGTTGTCAGGGAAGGTGTCGACAGCGATCTGATCTACAGGGCGGACCTGATCATCTGCACTATCGAGTTCAGTGATGACTTCTTGTGAGTCTTGCGTTCAAGTCATTGCCATAGATGCTCGAACTTTGGGCTTGTTTTCAGGGGTCCCGATAGAGCGCAGACGTTTGGATGGGACAGAGAATCCTTCAAAAAGTGGTTCGAAAAGTGGCTTCATGTGGCGAGATTAGTGGCGGTTTGGCCGAAACCGCTGGAGTCCTTGCTGTACGGGAACAAGGCGACGGACATGGAAGAAATCGTCCAGGTTACTACAAGGGAGCAGGGGTTACCGTATCCGCCCTTTCAGGTGGAAACCGACTTCAACAATGAGCGCTACAAAGGGCTAGAGATCTTGAACAATCCCATTTACCCGCCGGTCAAGATGAACTTCCATGACACACCTCAAGTATTTGGAAAGCTGCGGGCGATTTTTGTTGGCGGTCAGATTGTGCACATCCTGAACCTGGCGCCTGTGGATTTCGGAATCTATATAGATTCCGTACTCCCGACGCCGCTCTCAGCCATGCAGTGAGCATTTGCATATATTTCTTTGGGCGAGAAGCTAAACTTTGCTGAAACCAGGGGCGACCTCGCAAATTTTGGCCTCAACAACTTTGGCCTCAACGTGTGGCAAGGCAAGCAAGGGTTGGAAGAGTTTGAGAAGTTTGCGTACGCCATGTTGCGCGGGGTTATTGAGAAGCGGGAGCGGGAAAAGGGTGTTCGGAGGTCGAATCTGCGGACCTTCTGCTGCATGGACGTCTCTGTGTTCAAAGATGAACAAGGTCGCTACCAGCACGTCGTCACCGACCTCGAGGCGGGACCGGGTGCGGGGCTCTTCCTGAGGTCCCTCTCCGTCTATAAGTGCCGCATTATGTTTGCGACCATGAAAGATGTATGGAGGACCAAGGCTATCGAGTTCCGCAACGGTGTTGTGTTATGAACACTAGGTTTAATAGGGTTATGGGGACTTTTTTTGAAAGGTAGGGATTTAAACCTAGAATCGTGTAGGGTAGGGAGGGTAGGGAGGGAGGGTAGAGGGTAGGGAGGGTAGGGAAGGCAGGGAAGGGCAGGGCAGGGTAGGGCAGGGTAGGTAGGGGAGCGCACAGTAGCGTAGGATAGCGTAGAGATGTGTAGCATGTAGTGATATGAAAAAGGCGAGAAAAATTGGTTCGGGCGCCTTTGAGTACTGAAGTTCCAACGTGGGCCAGCCACGTCTCACGCAAAAAAAACGCATCTTCAAGGATATTAGACACACCCGGGATCGAACCGGCGACCTCCCGCATATGAGTATGCTAAGGAGGAGCGATAACCAACTATACCATGTGTCCTTTGGAACGTGGGGATCGTAGATCCCCATTAACACACTAAGGGATCACTCTGCTCAAACGTTCACCAGAATTAACGACACAAAACCTTTTTTATTGAGTACATAACTACATCACTGCATATGATTCGGAGTCGAATAACCCCCTAATCACATGGCAGGTTTTACCCTATGTGAGTGTACCCCAAGATGTTTGCACCGAGTAGAAAAACCAATATCTAAGAAGGACATATGAATAGACCACTAGTCTGGGCGGTCCAGGCACGAAACACCGTGAATTACGCTGATGATCTGCGAAGGTCCGTGGATGCGTAATGACACAAACCAAAAACCAACACAAAACAAAAGTGCTAGAAATCAGGGAAGTTCCCGAGCACGAAGTGGGAAGTGATTCCGAGAGGTAGACCGAGATCCCGAGGTGAGGAAAGAGGTTCCGAGGTGCCGAGATATGGTACCGAGGATCGGAAAATGGGAGGACGAAGTCAAAGTTCAACTAAGACTTGGCAAGAGTTTGGATAGGGTGGGGTGTCAGAACAAAGTGACGCTGATGACTTTCCGAACCAAATGTCCGTCTAGCTGAGCCCGTGCCCATCAATTCCGCCATCAATTTCTAGGGCACCCCACCAGCCGGGGGGCGTACCATGTTAGGGTTGGTTAGAGGTTAGGTTGGTTAGAGTTAGAGTTAGGGTTGGTTAGCTCTGTTTAGGGTGGGGATATTTATCTTGTCTTGTGTGGTATATTTCGTTGATGCCTAGGCTGATCTACGGTGAATTACGGTGGATTACGGTGGCTGAATTACGGTGAACTACGCTAGCCCTGCCATTGTTTTGACTAGACACTATATCACGGTGAATGACGGTGAATGACGGTGAATGACGGTGGATTACGGTGAATGACGGTGGCTGAATTACGGTGAACTACGCCAACCCTGCCATGGTTTTAACTAGGCGCTATATTATGGTGGACGGTGGATATTACGCTCTGAATTACAGTGAATTATGCTAACCCTGCCATTGTCTCTAAGACTAGACGTTGAACAAGATAATTTTCTGTGTAACATAAACAATTGTAATGTAAGTGTACTAAGTAACTAGCCCTAGTAGCCTAGATCTGGAGCTCTGCCCATGGCCGTCTTGATGGACCAGCCCGGCTCTTTGTCCTGCAGGGTTTCGAGACACGCGGAGGGAGTGAAGAACACTGTGCCTATTCTTCCTGGAGTAACGGTGTCGCCCGGCTGAGCCTGCTTGGGCGTCCAGCGCGCTATGGCGTGGAATATTTTGGAAGCCGGGAAGAAGCACAGTTGCCCCGGCCGGTAACTAACCATGATAAGCAGTTAGAGCGCGGTAGACGACGAGGGGAGGAGGGTTACCTGAACTTTGTATTTAGGCAAGGTACGACCATCTCCCCTCCGTCATAGTGGCCCACTGGGAAACTCACCGCCGGCCCATCGTCGCCGCCATCCAGATGTGGCTCCACCTGGAGCTTGAAAACGAGGGCGCGTCCCAGCCATGGCCCGGGATCTTCTGAAACCCACACACCGGCCTCGAAAGCTTGAACAAATTTTGCGTATTCAGCAGGGAAGAGCTTCCGGAACCATATGCCGAGGGTCTCGGCCAAGAGGGCGGTCTGGAGGTAGTGTGCTTTGATGGCGGCGGCCCCCGTTCCAGATCTGGTGTGCTCCGATGAGAGGTAGAGACCCTGTAGAAGAACAATACATCAATTGAGAATGCTAGAGAACGTTCAAGACACTTACATCTCCACGGTGGCCCAGCTGGGTCCAGCCGTGGACAAGGTGGATGACACCGCAGCGCTCTCGGTGCTCCACGTCAGGGTCCTCAGCGTCTGTGTAGCGCATTACGCGCGGGTCAACGTCATCCTTTCGGAGGGGGTGGCGTCTGTCGCTTTCGCTCAGCGTCGGGTGGACGTATGAGGCAAGCCACTGCGCCGACTGGTGATACCGTGTCACGGTTTTCTCCTGAAGGAGTAGAGAGGTAAGTGAGATATCCATGTCGGACAAAAGAGATATGTCACTCACATCTAACCCGTCCAATACCCTCTCGTTGTCCGGGGCATTTTTGAAAAACTCAGCCCACTTCCTCTGATTCTCGAGGGTGAGCGGTACGACCTCGGTAGGTTCAGTGAGCTTGACCCGTGCCGCTACGAAACAGAAAAGCGGGACGTCGTCTGGGTCCACAAACATCGCAGAGTACCCCTGAGCAGGCACGGAGGGGTCTGCGAGGCGCTGGCAGTCGGCCTTGGCATCCTCGGGACGCACTAGCTTGAGATCGGGAAGCCTGAAATCCGTCTTGAACTTGGGGGTGTAGGTGAGGAAGGCATCCGACCGTCTGTCAGCCAAGATCAGAGTCCTACGGTAGAGGCTGTCACCGCTTCGTTTAGTCTTGGAGCCTACCAAGTCCGGAGTAAAGGCGTCAATCGGTGGATGAGGCACGAAATCGCTCGGGGATAGCCTCTGGAACAAAAGTCAGAAGTTGTAACCTTTTCCGAGGGTATGCAGAGGTGCTCTAACCGGCAGCTTGGGCGCCTGATCCAAAAATGAGCAGGCTAATAAAAAACCGCAGTCAAGCAGGCGTACCTTGTCTTTCTGCTATAACCGCAAAAGCCCAGAATGAGTCATGTTATTATTCACTGGTATTAGCTTGTAAAGCTTACTTTCTTGGTAGCCTTTTTAGCGGCCTTCTTCGACTTGGTTGGGGCTGATTTTGGCATTTGAGAGAGTGGTACAAAGAAGGGTCTCCGGCATCCATGAAAATTTCACCCTGGAATCACATGACTGCGAGAATTTGCACATGACTTTACTTTTGTTGGGGACGTAATTTTTATTGGGGACACACCGAGGGCGTAAGGGGCCCAGAGACTACAGTACTTAGGGTTAGGGTATGAGCTCTCAAATGCCCAGCACCCACCCCTAAGTGCTGGTCGGTACGTATCTCTACCCTACTGACTAAAACCAGCTTGGGGGACCACTGGCGGGGTCAGTCCGCGGGCGACGCTCGTCTGAGCGCTCGAATGCCCGGTCCTGGCCCCTGAGTGCCGGTGGGTACACGGGCGACGCTCGTCTGAGCGCTCTATGCCCGGTACCCAACCAACGGCGGGGTCAGTCCGCGGGCGACGCTCGTCTAAGCGCTCGAATGCCCGGAACTGGCCCCTGCGGCAGTGGGTACGCGGGCGACGCTCGTCTGAGCGCTCTATGCCCGGTACCCTGTGCAGTACGTGGGCGACGCTCGTCTGAGCGCTCGATGCCCGCACAAGCGTGCTGTACTGGCCGGGAAGCCATGCACCGCCTTGCGAGGTGGAGATCCTCGACAGGGGTGATGGGTGATCACAAACAAGAGGTCTGTCTGAGTTTCAATCGCACTTATGCTTGGCTGAGTTTGAATATTCTGAGTCCTAAATTGCAAGTTTGCCCTAAACACGTTCTCCGGACGTAAAACCAAAACCACCATGGACAGGCGGCATAAATTGTGCCAGGAATTGATCGAAGCGGACAAGGACTTCGCAGCGAAATTCCTTCGAGCTACAGAGCAAGGTTGGGTTGGGATTCTGCGTCAGGACAAGTTTCCGCAGGGCTTAGGGTTATCTAGAGACTTTTTTTTTGGACTAGGGTACAAATTAGGGTTGAAAAATTTTCGGATTGGGGTACAGGGTTGGGCAGGGATGTGGACTGGGGTACAGGGTTGGGCAGGGATGGGGACTGGGGTTCGACTTGGGGTACAGGGTTGGGCAGGGATGTGGACTGGGGTTCGACTTGGGGTACAGGGTTGGGCTGTGATTTGCACTTGGGTGTGTTGAGGGTTGGGCTGGGATATGTACTGGGGTGTGCGGAGGGTTGGGCTGGAATGCGTATTGGGGCGGGACCTGGGGTGGAGTGTTGAGATGGGCTGGGATATGACTTGGGTGTGGGATGCAGGGTACGCCTTGCGGTGTCCGGAGGGTTGGGCTGTAATATGCACTGGGGTGTGTTGAGGGTTGGGCTGGGATACGTACTGGGGTGTGCAGAGGGTTGGGCTGGGATACACACTGGGGTACGACGGATGGGGGTTGGACTTGGGGTACAGGTTTGGGCTGCGATATGGGCTGGGGTATGACTTGGGGTGCAGGGCTGGGATACGGCGGATGTGGACTTGGGCAACAGGGTTGGGCTGCGATATGCCTGCACTGGATTACAAGTTGGGGCGGGACGTAGCCTGCATAGATACATGTACGCTCCTCTTCGAGGAGGAGCTGTGAATGTGATTACACACAAGAAACCAAAAAAACCGACCTGTATACCGTGTGAAGACACACCCGGAATCGAACCAGGGACCACCCTCTTAATCCTTACAACGTCATAATAGCATCAGGCCCACAAAAAACCAAAAAAGGGTTTTGTATATCATGCGATAACACACACCCGGAATCGAACCGGGGACCACCCGCTTAGCCTGCATTAAGCGGGCGTGTAACCAACTATACCATGTGCACTTGTCAAAGTGCCGCAATGCGAGTTACACATACAGTGCAGGTTTGGGTTGGGACTTGGCCCATATTGATAGATGTATGCTCCTCCTCGAGGAGGAGCTGTGAATGTGTTGGCTGAACGCACCCATGCACCCATGTACATTCCTCCTCAGGGAGGAGTGTGCATGGGTGCATGGGTGTGTAAAGGCATCACACATTCCACAACTCTTCCTCCTCGTCGACGAAGAGCGATGGAGGATCCACTTAGACTATCCGAATACGTCCTCGACGAACGGTGGATGCGCATGCGAAATCGGTAAGTATAATATAATTACACGAACTCTTCGACGAAGGCGGGCACTGCACCCAGACTGTAGGTATATGGTATCTACATCCCCGTCACATACGTCGTCGCCGACCAATAAGACGCGTCGACGGAGAGTGACGGATGATCCACTTAGACTATCCGGATACGTCCTCGACGAACGGTGGGTGTGCATGCGAAATCTGTAAGTATAATATAATTACACCAACAGTGCCCCGTCTTCGTCTTCGACGAAGGCGGGCAGTGCACCCAGACTGTAGGTATATGGTATCTACATCCCCGTCCCATACGTCCTCGCGGACGAATAAGGCGCGTCGACGAAGAGCGACGGATGATCCACTTGGACTATCCAAATACCTCGACGAACACTGGGTGTGCATGCGAAATTACAAGAACAGTGCCCCGTCTTCGTCTTCAACGAGGCGGGCACTGCACCCAGACCCTAGGTATATGGTATCTAGATTCCCGTCCCATACGTCGTCGCCCACCAATAAGATGCGTGCATACACCTGCTGATTCTTGAGATCCCCGCTCCAACCAGCCATGACGCGTCGTGGTGCCGATCCGAGGCTGTGTCCAGAACAGCCAGCGTTGAAGAATTTGAGGGCGTGTGTCCGATCGCGGGATTCGGTGCGGGGACGAGGGCCGGGTGCAGGTCGGGTTGGTTGTGGTATCCGTGAGTTGGCCGTGGTGGTTTCGTCCCTCAAGACAGGCGCGAGCACCCGTCGTCTTGCCCCACCAACTTGAAAATGGCCAAGGGCAGGGACCAACAGGTTTCGATCGCCGTCTCGCATCCCGATTAGAGGGAGGAGGGTAAAATGTAGCATGGTTAATAAATGGCGGGTGAGCACGCCTAGCAGACGCACCTTGACGGCTCCCCCCACCAGGGGTCTGCCGCCCCTCTCCCCGTCGTCTCTCATCCCAATTAGAGAGGAGGAGGGTTGTTGTCTCGTTCCCTGAGTCCTATCTATCAAAAATGTATCTGTGAATGCCAGTGAGATCCATTAGTACGAGTGAGAATACATGGAACCCAAAGAAATACTAAGTAAGACTTACCTTGAGAAATCCTGGTCACGGCGGGAACAGTCAATGTCAATGAGAAAGGGGTGGTGGTAGGAAGGAAGAGACAAAAGGACCCCGCCGATAGGGTCCTGGGCTGGAGTCTCCCTCGGCGGGTTGCCCAGGTGGGCGGAGGTGGTAGGAGGCAGAGAGGGGAGACGTCATGGACGACGTCGACGAAGAGCGACGGATGATCCACGTAGATTAACCGTATTCGTCGTCGACGAACGGTGGGAGTGCATGCATGCGTCGCTCGTCGTCGACGAGGACGTTGTGCTGCGCGCATGCCCTAAGGTATGGGACGGGGATATATTACCATATATCTGCAGTCTGGGTGCAGTGCCCGCCGGTCGTCAAAGACGAAGACTGGGGTCCGTGGGCCGTTAAACAGCAGATCCAAGTTCTAATAGCACGAGCCAGGAGAAGATATAAGTGATAGGTATCAAAGCGAGAATAGCACATACTGTAATGCGCGTAGTATGCAATGGAACCCTGTTGCGACGGAACGGCGCCCTAAGGTGTATATTCGATGCTTGGACCCTTTGCGTCGGGGTGAACGAAGTGTTTGCCTTCCTACCTATTTGCTTGGATTTAGATATTTAATTTTAAGTTTCATATGTTCGTTTCAGACGCACTCACAATCTCCATAGCACTCGCTGAATTTATGCCGTCCGAAATACGCATACATATTACAATCCGTTGCTTCCGATACACCTTGGCCCTAAGAAACTGACACAGGCGGTGATTAGGCCGGAGTCAAAGACATGAAATGAAAGGAAACACTTACCTCCGCCTACGAACAATCCCGCATCCCCACAATAATCCGCTGACCCCTCTCGTATCCGGCCTTCGTTCGCTTTCGTCTGTATGACACGCACGCGCCATCCGCGACCCAGACTGACTAGAGGGCTCTCAAGAATTGTAGCGGTAGAAAAAATGGGACTTACTTTGGGTAATTTGAATACACCCATGGCCCTTAGCTCGGCCCTATGCGCGCGCGCCCCCGCCTTCCTCCAGCGATACCCAATGAAAACTGCATGTACCCGCTTTGACCCCAGTCTGATTCGCACTGGCATTCCGCGCTGCAAGAACCGTGAGGTTGAGTAGTATGAGGGACGACGGCTTACTGATAGGCGGCGTTCGATTGGGACTTGAATTAGCGGGAAACCTTCGCGATCCGCAAGTCTCGGCTTTGGGATGAGCGGCATGTGTGAAAGCGTGAGTGAGGAAAGCGTGAGTGAGGATGTCAAGCGTGAGTGAGGATGTCGACGCTGGTGAGTGAGGATGTCGGTGCTGGTGAGTGAGGATGTCGGTGCTGGTGAGTGAGGATGTCGGCGCTGGTACTGCTGAAGATGGAACGAAAATGGGAATACTGGAAATGGAAGAATGAAATCGGTAAGCGTCACTGACTCTGAGCTGTGCAAGCGGAAAGTGAGATGAAGCCGCTGGAACGGTCGAATATTGAAAGAATTCCGGCGTAGTGACTCGCTGTAAGTGTTATGAGCCTTGAAACGGAAGACGGCGCGTAACGACTTGAATTGCGGGATTCCGTGCGGGGACGACGGCGGGGTGCAGGTCCGGTTGGTCGTGGTATCCGTGGGTTGGTGTAGTGGTTTCGTCCCTCACGACAGGCGGAAGAATGTCGGGTAGGGCAGATGCATATACAGTAAATCCTCATGACCCCCGGGCGCAGAACCGTGAGTCGTCGTAGACAAAGAAAATGGACGTCATAAATGTATTCTATGAATGGATCGAGGTTAGAAGATGCCCAGAGAGAAGGAGAACGAGGCAGTACTCACGGAGAAGTGACCCCAGTAGCGCGCCAGAGTTAAATCATGATGAACGCGTGTCTACCTGCGCTACTTGCTAGCAGGGAGGCGTAGGTGATGGGTAGAGGGAAGTAGCATACATAAGGAACCCTCATCAAGGAGTAATGCTCACCTCCTCGTCGACGAGGAACACAGAGATCATACATCATAGGGTCATAGATACTGCCATTGGGCTCTTCAAGCTGTAAGTACATTCGGGCGATAATTTACGGGTCATGCGTCGCTACCATCCTCTACGATAAATTCAGGCATCGCCCCTGTCTTCAACAAGATACGGGGAGCGGGCTTAGCTCCAACCCTGGTGGCGGCGGGAGGTTGGCGCGTAAACTTCGGGAGGAACCTCGTAGGCCAAATCTTGTCCTGCTGGGCATCGGGCATCCACTCCCAACGTCTGATCCGCTTCCAAATTTCGTTCCGAGTAGTGTTGACGGTGGCGGAAGTGACCTCGTTGTTGTTGACGAACTTCAACCACTTTATGTAGTAGGGACATTTTGCGTACTGATTGTCCTCCCTGGTTTCGACGCCGCGCATCGGGAACAGCCACTTGAAGGCCCTACTCCAGTCGTCCGAGCTGCCGTGCCTGTAAGCGACACACCGCCACACATCCGAGAGTAGGAGGTTGCTGTAAATATCCTCCCGAGCAGCGCGTCTCTGCTGGGTATCAAGTTTGAGATAAGACGGGTTGCTGATACCCTTGGGGTTGGGTGACTTGACGGCGATGTCGACGAGGAACTGGCGGTACACGTCGGAGACGAATGCATCGAGGTCTGCGGGTTGGTCCTCCGGAGCAGGAGAGGAACGGTCCTCTACGTCAGAACCGTCGTCGAAGGAAGGAGGGGGGAGGGTGTGTCCTCCAGCGGTGAGGTTGAAAAGGTTCGGCTGGGGTGCGCCGGTGAAGTTGGCGTAGGCGACCATCTTGGACTTGCTGGTCGTTGAGCGAGCGCGCACGATCAACTCACGACCCACGATGCCGGAGATATTATACTTCCGGTCCACCTCCAGGGGCGTCATCTTGAACAGCGCTCGAAAAGCCACTCCCGACAGAACGGGTCCACCATACCGAAGGCGGGGCGTCTGTCCTAGCATCATATGTCGGAAGAAGACGCAACCGTAGGGGTTGTAGGCGACCCGATCCGGAGGACGGCGGTTTTCTTCTTCACCCTCCTCCTCCTCCTCCTCCTCCTCCTCCTCTGCTGCTGCCGGTCGACGAGCTCCGTTGTATGCGATGGTGTCGTCGTCGACGTCCACCGCCTCTGTAACGGGTAGTATCGCGTTAAGGAGCATTCTCGATGCGGAGCGGTCGTCAGGGTGAGCATGCTGTCCGTTGACGAGCCATACGCACCCCGCGGTAAGGGTTAAGGCTTCAGGTTGGACACGATGAGGAGGGTGTCCCTCGGCCTGCAGACCGAAGGTCTGGCTGACGGCCATGAGTCTGATGATACGAAAGCACCTGAAGACAGAATAATGTGAGAAACATGTAACGAATCAGGTGGAGAATGACTTACCACCACTCCTGAGGTGTAAACGAACAGAGACACCTTCGAATTTCCGAATCATTGAACTCCACCAGCACCTCCGCCGCTTTTTGGTACGGTACGCGTACCTCCAGACGGGCGCTGGAGGGATTGGCGTGGATGGCTGCGTCATATATGGCATGGAGAGCCTCGATGTTCTTCGTAGGCTGGGTAGGGCCCATCGCTTCCGCCAGAGTGACGTGTTTCGCGTGGTGGCCGGCGTCCTTGTTGGCGACCACGGTTTTATCAGTCGTGTAGGCCTGGATGTAGGAGGCCTCGAAGTTCCCCTGCGCATGT